GCAGTACTAGTTATGACCATTTTATCGATAGCTCTGCATCTTACTGGTCACTCCCTCTTATCTTACTACTACTGATTTAAACTATACTTCATAGATAACTTCTTCTCCATTCTGATATCGTGGTCGACTTTATTCAGCATAGAGTGGATCACATTGAGCTGGTATTTGTCACCCCTCTTCATGCACGTGTAGTTTCATGGCTCATTTTATTTTTAGCTATATTTTATTCTTTCTATTTTATTTTTTATTTCATTTTTTCATAGTTCATATAGTTTCAGTTTATTTTTGAAGACTATTCCTTACTACTATGTCTAATGTTTAAAGTGAAATCGATTTTCATCCATATTATGTCATCTCACTTCTCACGGCATCGTACCTCTACCGCTGGAACTTGAGGTTCCCTTGCGGTTATTGGAACTTGGCGTCCATGTTGATATGTTACATATTTCTTTGCTCTGTTTTTGACGTATTTGTCACCAATGCTCTTCTTTCCAATTGCGTCGTCAGCATAGAATTAGTCTGGCGCGGTGGTTAGCGATCCTTGCAATAAAGCTAAGGTGGTTGTCTCGATCGCATTCCTAAGGCTAAGCACGAACTTATTCTCACCAGGATCGGTGATTTGGTACCAGACTTGTATAGTGGAATAACAAAAAGGAGTTCACTTGATACATTGGTATCCTGTTGCAAGTCAACGCTAGGCAGGACAAGCATGGATTCTTCCACATCTGTAATGCTTAATGGATTCAATGGTTCATGGCACATTCATGAAACGATAGTTTTTATTCTTTGCCGTCAGCATTCATTGTCTTCCACGGATGATATTGTGATGATCAGAAGGGACTAAGGTGAAAGCCGCCACTCTCCTACAACGTCGACCAGCTTACAAAAACCGACAAAAGACCGAAGATACCAAACGAACTCTTCACAGCGTGTCACTTGGCACCAACTCTTTTATCAGCATATAACAAATGATTGGTTAGGGCGGTAGGCGTAATCCAATTAGAAGTGGCCGATAACAACTCTGTGATCTTTTGACAGGACTACGAAAACCGCCTGGCCGAGTGAAGGCCAACGTCTGTTTTTTGAAGTACCAAGGTTCCGCAGCACGGCCAGTCCTGCGGTGTTGTTCTCGCACATCGACGTGAACAGCGAGACTCCTCTAATCCTCGAGTTGTCCGCTGTCCGGTGGGTTGCTAGACCTTGGCGCGTTCTGTGGTTTTGGCAGCGCGCCAACGCATAGCGCGTCCGCCATCGCGGTTTTTTGCTTCTGTCGCGACCTTGTTTGAAAGCATCTATCGATCCAGGTAAATGAAACTTCCCCTATGACGAAAACTTGCTGATCTGGTGGACAACGATGTGAGCGGAATCGGAAATTTCCTGATTTTTTTTGAGGATTTCCCATCTGGATGTGGATGGTTCGTCTTCAGTAAGACGTTTGAACTTTCACTTCAAATTAGCTAGCATACACCTGACTCGCCCAGTTGTAAAGAAAAACGATCTTTGTTTGGGGAACCGTTGACACCTTCCTCTTCGTTCACATTCTTCAAAGGATCAGGTTACTGTTTATTTTCATTTATGAGGGAGGTAGGCCAAATGTAAGTTTCGTTCTTAGTATAATAAATCGATTTGTCTAGAAATAACATAATAACTTAACCATGCCATCAGACTTCATCCGAATTCGGGAAGATCGAAACTAGGCCTGGGATTTTGGTCAGTATCTGATTTTGGTAGTGTCTTCGTTTCTTTACCGAAACGCTCATAGTTTGTCGAAGTATGTCTTCATCTCTCACGAGGGTTACGTGGCACAAAAGTCTAACCCCGTTGAGCAGAAGGCTTCTCTTGGCGAGGACGCACAGTTGTGTTACGTCGATTATTGTGCTTTCAGTGATAGCACTATACTTCCAGTATGGCTCATATGCGTTTGTCAGAGGTGGTCACTATGAGCCATACCCAGCTATGCATTGTGGCCGACATATTTTGAAACTGTTCTCCTCTTTGTATCATTCATTATTTTTTTCTCTGTTCTTTTTCCTTACGAAATCGATAGCTTTTCATCTTCATTGTTGTAGAGACGTCGTGATGGAAGCGTTTCTCTTTCCATACCCTTCATAATTTAGAGCTTTTGTGTTTATTATTAAAGTAGTCTAAACAGTATACTTATTTATATTCTCCATCTAATGTTAATCTTCACGTCTTCTTCTCAAGAAGTCCTCAATTTTTTGTCTTTCCAGGATTTTCATAGCATTCAACACAAGGTTTTTGTGCTTTTCCTAGTGGATTGGTTTCTTCATGAACATGACAAATTCAGTGAATACGCACCTATTAATTTGTAACAAAGTAGAACAGACTTCTTATTTTCCTCTCGACATAATCCAAAGCTAGAAAAAGGAAATTTCTGTCTGGTAGTGTTCATCATTTCTTCGATTTTACATAGTAAAAGGTAGTGAACTTGCATCAGTGGCACTGTGGTTAAGCACGATGAACGGCATGCATTGAGTACAATACAAATCATATCGAACTTCGTTAATTGAAATAAAACCCATTAAAATCTATACGTACTTATTTACAAGATAAAAACCCTCTTGTTCTGCCAAGAGGTTTTGATTTACCGGAATCCACGTAAGGTATTTTTCCCACTTTTTATTTCATGCTGGTATTCCGAACGTGAAAGTAGTTGAACAAACGGTATTCCGAACATGCTGGGGTGTTCCCGAATGTTTCACTGGCACTTGCGGTTACCGCATTTTGTGGGAAAGTTTAAAAATAGGAGTTTCGTATTTTTTGAGAATCCTAATTCCAGACATATATATAATTGAAAGAATGTTATTTTAAAAACTGGGCGCACACTTAAAGCAGTGCAGCCAGGTCCTTTCTTGAAGTCTTTGATGTCCTGAATTCCTTAGCTATTCTGATCTGACTCTTGTCGTAAATAAATCATCTTGAGTTGGCGAAGGACCAGTTTCATTAAATATTAGCAGCGCCTCTTTCGAACTAGTCACACTTTGGGATGCGTGTAGCGCAGTGGTTAAAGGTCTGCAATATACACGTAGTTTTAGTTCGATCGCGCGCCAAAGGTTAATACCAACGGAAATGATGAAGTGTTGAAGTGTGCGTCATGCATTCGACTTTACTAAACATCGCCAGAAGTGTACGAATGTGTATCCGGCTTACACAGTGACTTTTATCTTCCAAGACAACTCACATAGTAAGTTGCCGAATCCCGGAAGGATGGAAGGCTTGGTGAGACCGGGCGAAGGGAACGAACCAGAGGCTGTTCCAGTGAATTGCATGGCACCTCCACCCACAACATTAAACGTTGCCCTACAAATTTTGTCTGAGAGAATAAAAACATTGTCTTGATCACATCGGTAGGGTGCCACAAGTTATTCCATAGGCCAAATATCTATTCAATCACGTGTACGATGGTTAATGGATTGGGATGTATAGTTCATTCCTCAGAATCAACACTGAGCACTCTAGCTCTATCCATTATTCCCTAATCACACATTTTTCACGGGATTTCTCTACTCAGCCATGATTTAGAGAATTGCCACGGTAGTCGTCAACAACATTGTGTGAAGTGGTGGGAGGACGAGTTTTCGAATGCTGACGCGGATTGTGACGGCCACGTACTCGTCGTTGTCCACCACCAGCCCGACGGAGTGCCGGCGGTGTCTGGGATGGGCGGCGGTCGGCGCGTGGGGACGGACGCGGTGCCCGAGAGGTCAGCGCCGGCACGCGCGTCCCTGGCGAACCGTGGTCGTCGTCGCGCGTCTGCTGCCGCGCACGTCGCCGCATCCTCACACGCCTATTACGACCCCGTGCAATCGCCCTTCGCGAGTTCTTCATCACATCATTTCCACAAACGGAGGCTTCCCTTGCTTAGACTCATTTACCTGTCACTAATTATTCAGTTAATTTTGATCTCGGGACGCTTGTAGGGTTTGTAGTGACGTGAATAGTATCATGGTTGGTAATTGTTTGCACAGCGGATCTTCCTTGGTGACTGGATTTCATGCTTTCGATTTTTTATCTCGTACCATATCAGTGAGCATATCATGACGATTCTTTGTCCTTGTACTGGCAAGTTTTCAGTGAAGAATGGTTTTTTATATGTTCTTATGAAATGGCTTTGTTGAGCTGATGCGAGGTTGAGACAAATTTTCGTTGTTGTTGTTGTTGTTGTTGTTGTTGTTGTTGTTGTTATTGTTGCTGTTGCTGTTAATGTTGGTCGATCGCTGACGTTTCGGCGATTTAGCCTTCCTCATAGCCGTGCTGTTACGAGTGGTACCTAATTTATGCCTTGTTAACGACAACTTGTACCCCACCTCGCATCATCTCAACAAGATCAGTTCATAGTCACATACATAAATACATCGATTATTCATGCCGAGGTTTATAGAAAGTGGGTTTTTTGATTTATTAAGAAGAACGATTTGTTACGATCTCAGATATTATGCGTCTTTGAGTGCATTCCAGTTGATCATTTCAGTAGCATCGTTGTTTTAATGTTAAAGAACAGTTGAGAGCTAAGCACAAGGCTGAGCGGGATATTGTTATGTTTGAGTTGGAGGGATATTTCAACTCAAAAACGAGGCCAAATTCATGTGATTGCTTAAATATGTGATAGACAGTCTTGTGAACATCATCATTATCTCTTAGAGTTCACACATTTGTTCTGAGGCATTGACCGTGTATATGAGCATACTTGATGTCCTTCTTGATCTACAGCTCTGAAACACATCAAGAGTTTTTCCTTATGGCTCCTTCTATTCTTCTGTCAATGAATAGGTTGCAAATCACCTGCCTCCCATCGTTCTCCCAATGGCGCCAACCTGGCAGTAGGTAGATTCCACTGAACAGTTCGTGTTGCTCGATCCTAGTTGGGGCATTGTCATTGGTAGGGATGTAGTGAAGTATAGGTCATCGTCTATCAAAATCTCGTTGCATGGGATGTCACTATAATGTCGGATCGTCGTTGTCGACCGAAAAACACCCACATGCAATCGCCCGCGTCCATATTTCACCCAAATCGCGGCGTCTTTGAAGCCGCTCTCAGCCTGGACCCGTTTGTCGCTTCGTTTTCTAATTGGATTCGGTACGTTTCAGGGTCGACTTGTGTCGTTAGCACGAATTCGATGGCATCCTTCTAGAGCTTGCCGAATCTGACTGCGATCTCTCAACACGAGATCTTTCTGGATATTTCCATGGTCGACACCATTCATGTGTGGCCACTAAGTTCTACCGTCCATGGCTAACTCAGTGTTCTTGACCAGCTTGATTCTGCATTGTTTCGGTGTTGGATTCCTTTATTCCGAGTAAAGTATCGATAGACCACGTGTGGCAGTTCGAACGATGATTCTATTCAATTCATAAAGAATTGGTGATGATTTTACAAGAGCAGGGAACAATAGCAGCTGTAGAGTTTTTAGGGCCATGTGCCAGCAAATCGATTCTTTTTTTTTTTGAGGTGATTGGTATACAAGCGTGGCAGTGCGATGTTATGGGTCCTAGTGCTGTTACAATATCACTACTACCGCTCCAGTGCAAAATCCACTCCATTTTCCTTGAGTTTCCTGATTCGTAGTTTGTATAGTGCATGATATTTTCGTCCAGCTGTCTACATCAGTGGCTTCCACTTTAGTTTTACAGACTCGTGAGCGCTCGTCTGATGCTTGCAAATTCAGTTGCTAAGAAGTTTATGTATTAATTTTGCTTCTACCTAGGATAGATTGTGTGTCATTTTGACCTATCCAGGTTCTGAAGAAGACGGAAATCGGAGTCGGAAAAGCGGATTTTCCAGAAGGCCGAGATATCAGCCAGTGTGTTGAGTGAAGCATTCGTTAAGCAACTCATGTCGGTTCAAAAGGAAATCATTAATTTACTAGAACTTAATCGTTTTCTAAGTTCACAGCATTTCGAGTGCATTAGTCGTCTTCACGGTGATACTGGATAGCTGGGAGCGGTTATCGTAGGTGTTGAACACCGTGATCGGGCGGGGTGGGTCCGCTGTCTGTCCGTCTACACGTGCGGTTTTTCCTAGGTCGTACTGGGTCAGGACGTAAATCGACGACAACGATCCTCGTCACTCTACAGCCTACCATAGGTTCAGCGATCACTAACACTACCAGTGCCCAACTGCCCTGACTATCCAGACATCAGTCTGTCCTCATATCAACTACGTTATTTTTTCGTTCAGGTTTTTCAATACCTACGACACTCCCATCTGTATGGTCTTTTATTTTCCTACTACTTTTTGTCAACAACAATCGAGCACGTAATCATACTGGTAGTTGGTGGTAATTTCGAAGTCCATAGGATGTACACGGATGTAGTGAGCCTGTTTTTACCTTTGTTATTTTTTTCCCAGATCGTGACAAAAATGAAGGCGGATTGAGTTGTCTTCAATGACTCAGTGGCCCCGGTGTTTATTTAATGGTTATTTATATTTGATGGTTAAGTAAAATTATCTTGTCTGGGCTAACCCAATCGATTGATTCTATTGGACTTCGTGATCAGAAGTATTGCGTAACATTTGTTTGAACGTTGGATGTTTATGTTACGGGGATGACACTATTCTAAGGACTTGCTAAACTGTCACAATTATAAGCTTTAAACCAGTATTTCATACAACTGTTGAATAACTAACCAGCGATTTTGACGGATTGAACTGAATTTCTTGGAATGTCTTGCGCCACGATTGCCTGGTTGACTGTCGTTCTCCATTTATTTCCCCACAGCCTCACCCACATATCTTCAACTCAACCTCATTTGTTGGCTGGGGAGATTTGTGAAGTCTCTACCAATTCATAACTGGGATTCTTTCAAGTTCTCTTGGGTGGTTGGTTACATTTGAATTCATAATGAAATTCAGTTGTTGAGTTCCGCTCCCATCGTTGCCTTCTTCTCAAAATTATTCACTTACTGGAAAGTTTCGAAATATCAGTTACACAGTGGGGAATCTTTCATGGATACTGGTGGATGAGGTGATATGAATGCTAGAAGATCGACTTCAATCCGTTTAGAATTTTTTTGTGTTTTTGAGGTTTTGCAGTTTAGCACGCTCTAATCCACACTTCTCTTTAGTTTCCCATAGCTGCCTCTCATTCTGCTTGTAAAAAACTCGAATTCGAACTTCTCTTAAGTTGTAACATCTCAATAACTTTGCAAATGCTTGTTCTACGTTATAAAATAAACATTCCGACGCAGGAATTCATTTCCGTACTATCGTCTTCTTGGGATTCTGCTGACTTCAATGTATGGATAGATTAACATGAACAGCTGATTTTGAATCGATATCAGTTTTGGAAGAGCGCGCGTGACGCAGTGGTGGGAGGTGTCCTTCAACACACATGGGATCGATCTCTGCACCTCTGGCTCAACAAGCCTTCCATCGCTCCGGGGTGGGCAAATTGGTACCAGACTTGTCTGGGAGGATAGAAGCACTGGCTCAATACATCGATAGGCCACCGCGAGTCATTGTGAAAGCCAGATATGTATTCAATCACCTCCAACGCTTAATGAAGTCGAATGCATGGCGCATCCCTCAGGGAGGAGATTGATCAACTCCGAGAGCTTTATCCTTAATTTATCCATCTTGGTGATGAATGGCATAACAATGTCTCCCGTGTCTTTAATCGGGCTATTTGGTGTTTTCTTATCAACGATTTTGCGAATGTAATGTAGTTGTTAATTTGTTTTGCACTCCATAGTCATGAGACTTCCACCCTTCAGCAGTCTTTACAAATGACCATAATGTTTTCTGTTTTTGGTAACTGTAGATAGGTGAGTCATAAATAAATTTTTTTGTACGATATATGAATGAAGATGATGGTGGAGCCTGTTGCAATCGTAGTCTCCCCATCAGTTCGATTCTAGTTTATACAGTTACCTTTTGTTTTACTTAGCCCAAAATGAAATGTCCACTATCCAAATTAGGACATTGGGCTGATTGTTATGTGGCAGAGTCATAGCACTCTATCTATGAACTTTTCCTCAAAGTATCTCATCATCACCTCGTATGGTCACCAATGAGACATTGTTTTTGCAGGTCCTGCTTCTTTTCTCTTTGTACTAGCATCTCAGTGTTTGCGTCGTATTCTCGAGTGTTACCGTTCAAAGACACTTCCGGTTTCTAGAGAATTTCTGTCTTTGCAGGATGCAGATGGCTGTGATGCCTGGTCATTCACCATCTTCGTCCATGAAAGGGGAAAAAACCTCGGCTGCACCAGAACCACCGTGAGTGCTTTTGTCTTGTTTCCTACTTGTGTCTCCCTACCGTCTTTCACCGTCCATTTTCATATCAGTGCTTTACTTTGTGCCACCCACACGTTAGTCACTCTTTCAACGGAGTGTGCATGTTTGTAAAAGCGTTTTATGTTTTCGCTTTTCCGCAGTTCTCTTGATTTTCACGCCGGCTACAGAGTATCGTCTTCGGACGGTGATCGTCTACGCGCTTCGATGGAAGCATGGAAACGAAGCGCTGCTTTGGCTAGCGAGAGGTATGGTGAAGCGAGGCAGAGACAAATTGCTGCCGAGAGAGATGATCGGAATGAACTTCGCAAAAGGTACAGTTCCTTATATACTTTGCCATCGGTGCTATTCTGCTCTTCTACTTGTCCGCTGGACGGTGTTTCGGTTTTCTTCTGACTTGTCTCCGCCGTATTGGAGAGATATTTTACCTTTATATCTTCTCAGTTCAATCCTTAAAGAACATTTCAGTGTAGCATCTAATCAATGACGGGTTTTGGTCTGTTGTTTGCTTACATTTTTAGGCGGGAAATTTTTGTGTGGTGGAAAGTTTAGCTCGTTTTTCTAATAAATTGCCAATGTTTTTTGCGGGGAGGAAAGTGTAGTTCGTTTTCCAAATAAACTTCCAATGTTGCCATAAATTGCGTGTTTTAAATCTATTGCTGTCATTTATTCACCTTACCATAGCCATGATAAGGACATCTTTTTTTGTATTTTCATGGCTGTAAATATGCGTACTAGACATTTTTATACGACCCATGGAGAACAAAATCTCAAAACAACGGCACGAATTTCTGTAGTCTTCGAGAAACTTCAGGGTGCTACTATATTCCATTGAGAGGAAATCTAGTGCCGATTTGTGCTCCCCAAATCAATCCCGTTGACGAGTGATTGCTAATAGCACTTATAGGTCAATAACATGACTGCGAGGAAGGCAAAACGAAAGACCCGCATGGTGTGGTGGTAAAAGCATTAGCACCCGGAAAGGGTAACACCGTGTTCGGTCCGCACCGCAGTCACAAGCGGTCCGGAGTTTTGCAAACATCTCAGCATCATTATCGTTATATTTCACACACTACCTTGCGATTAAAAAAAAGTGTAGGCAGTAAATTAAAGCGGTGACAGCTAGTGTTTTCCTCATGAAATATTCTTTCTCTTTATATCTTCTCGTTTCTCGTTCTTTTTCAAAACGAAGTGTTGAATAGACTTTTTTGCACTTTGTCAAGAAAGCGACATGTCTCCGGTTTTTCTCTCCAGTGCCCTGTTTTTTCGTGAAGGATTCGAGAAAGTGGAGTATGTGAATTATATTAGATGCAAACCAGAATGATAATTAACCATTCTTCATATCCAGAAACTGAAAACTATCCGGAATTACCTTGCTTTGTGAATGTGTTATTTTAGGTTGCTATAATCCACCTTTATAGATTATTCACATCTTTGCAATTTTTTCCCTGCTTTGTTTATCATATTCCTGATTTTTTTCTTTTCTTTTTTTTTCGCAGCCAACTTCATCCTTTGTCACAGTTTACAACCTTTAGATGGCTTGAAGAGGAGGCAAAAAAACGTGCAGAGAGTGTGGTGAAGCAAAAAGAGGCTATAAACGGCTGCAGTTTGTCCGGCAACATGCCTCCACCCCTTTATCAATCAACGCCTGTTAACAATCGTGTACGTTATTGCCCTTTTAGCTTTACAGGAGCGGGTTTTTTTCCGTAGTTGGTAAATCATGAGTTGAGCATGAGTTCACCGTGAGAATACACTGTTTTCAGGATAGGAAGCGCCATCATGATAGCAATGATTACGGCCACGAAGAGTGGAGACAAGGGTTTCGTTTGATGGAAGGTTAACTTAGTGACTGGCTAATTTCTTATAAGAATGATCAGGATTTATTTTTAACGGAGTATGATTCCAGGATCTGCCACTTCTGAAATGGCCAAAACATCCACCGATACATACATAAACTACCCACAAACGGGTATAGGTTTCTCTCCAGGAATGTTGGTACGTCTTTTTTATAATTTTGTATGTATTCGAATATCAGATAAAATCAGTTTTCAGTTTTAGTTTCTTACAACCTTTTCTTTCTTGTTGTTTGCTTTATGCCACAGAACGTTTTATATGTGTTCCAGATGCCTGGAATGCAACAACATTCTAATAAAGGAATGATGGCGGATTATCCAACCAGACCTTTTCCAAGCAGTGCTTTGTATCCACTGAATTCTTACTCTGCTAATGACGGAATGTCGTCTTCAACAACAGAACAGTTCTTTCCCTTGGAGAGAGCACCGAGATTTTGCGAAGGTACTTTCCAGACACAATGTGTTGTTCCTTCGACACTCGGCTGCTCTCCGATGCCGTCTACCTCTACGGCAGATTTGTCGTTAAATCAGAGGTACCACTCCATGGAACCGCCACAGTTTCCTACATCGTCTGATTGTATTCACGCTGGATCGTTACGACCACAACAAACACAATTTCCCGCAAATGATCCCGCCACATGTGGTTGCGATATGCGACCGAGTTCATCGATGTGTCCAACGTCACCAAACGAGGTTGGTTAGAGTTCAGTAAGTGTCTCTTTAGAAAACTTTCTTCCATGTATCTTTACGGATGTATGTGCAATATTTTGATTTCTATATACTTTATTAGCCTTGTTCTACGAAAAGAATAACTATCGATTAACGTGGAAGTTTACCCGTTCACATCTAATATTGTTGGTACTAAAAATTTCCTTGTTGCTATGTAAAGTACGTTGTGAAACCTTTTTGTACAGGCATAAAGTATTGTTCCTATGTTATACATGATCTCTCTTTCTAGGTTCCAACACCACCAGCTCTAGTTAATTCGAGCGGTGCGGCAACTGGCAATTGCACCAGTTCAGCAACTGTGGTGGAGCAAAGCCTTCGCAGTCCTGCCGAAGATCTCGGCTGTAACGCCGTGAATGAAGATAATATGACGAAAATGCTTACTAGTATCCGTACTGACAGTCTAGGAATGCTAGGAGCGGATGCTGTGGATTCATTATTCGATAACGATACGACTGCTGATGGTGCGGCTGGGCAGGTACACCTAGAATCTTCTATTCCTTTGTGATCGACAATAATATCTTTTCATTTTAGGTTCCCGTTGTGACATTCACAGAACCTAATAGCTCTCCAACTGGCTTCTGCCATGGAGGACCTCAAAGTGTGCATTCCATTCACTCCGTAAGTTGCCGAGTTTGGCAGACCTGATTGAGATCGTAAATTGGTAAATTGGTAAATTTTAGGCACCTCAGAGCAATGGAAATTGCAATCCACCTTCTACTCCTACCATTGATACAGCGGCAAGTATTGTTCCTCACTTAACAACCTTCCCGCAAGTTCCAGCATCGCAATCTACCACGTTTCCTCACCAATCTCCATCTCATTCATCAATTTTCCCGAGACAGTCTCCATCCCAACAATCGTCTGCTTTCCCATCGGCAGTAACCGGTCGGCTATCACCTTTTCCACATAATTCTCAGTCGGAAAACGCATTTTTTGCTCAGTCGTCGTCGTCACAATGTTTGAGCTATCCAACGACCATGGAAAACGCTGCCTCTTTCACAACTCCCTCATCCCAATCCACTGCTTATGCGACACTATCGCAGCACCCGCCAGGATTTCCACAACACAGTGCCATTTATCCGAACTCGTTTCCTCCTACGGCAGCTGTATTTCCGCACACTGAACCCCTTCCTTCCACATCAAACTCATACGCTCCCTCTTCATCTGCTGCAGGCATGGGTTCAAGGTCTACAGGACCAGTGTTTGTAGGACAACAAGAAGTTCTGAATCCTGGATTTACCATGAATGGGTTGGTTTAAATCATTATATATATATATATATATATCAAATGAGAGGTTGTAGGTATCCGATTTACGACATACCATCAGCACAAATGAGTCAGCAACAGATGCTTATGCAGGTAAGCCCTGAATTTTCCTTGCATCTTTCTCTTTTATGTTTCTTTCTTTTTGCTTCAGGGCTAAGTCGCGTTTTCAGGCTCAACAGCAACAACAACAAATGGCGATGGCAATGGGGAGTGGACCGGGCACTGCGATGAATGCACAACAGTACCACATGGCAATGATACAGAAACACCAGCAGAACGTCAAAGCGATGATGCAACAACGCGGTACATCTTTACCGTTAGGTTCACGCTGTTACACGGTATTTCTTGTGCTTAATTTCAGTGGCGATGTACCATGGATATCCAAATGGAGCAACCATGTCACGACAACAATATTTCATGCACATGCAAAAGATGCAGCAAACGCGGTAAGGTTTTTCTTAAATCATATACTTTTAATTGGAATTTGAATACCAGTATATAAGGGCGTAGCTTGGGCGCGTGTGGCGCAGTCGTCTGAAGCGCCCTGTAATACACATGGGGTTGATCCCCGGTTCCTTGGCCCACTAAGCCTTCCATCCCTCCGGAGTCGGCAAATTGGTACCAGACTTGTCTAAGAGAATCGCAGCACTGACTCGATACATGGGTAGGCCACTGCGAGTCATTGTAAAGGCAAGATATGTATCCAATCACCTCCAAACGATGCTTAATGAAGTCGAGTGCATGGCGCATTAGTCAGGGATAGATTAATTCCGTGAGCTTTTTGCAATGGTGAAGTTCACAACATTGGTCATTCTAGTCAAAGTGGTGCGCTGTCATACTGATATTCCTTTCGTAAGTCCTCTAAATCACTGCTGGTTGAAGGTGAAATGGCAATGTTTCATCATTAGTAGATGGTCCTTCTAATATTTGTCTATTTCGGAGAGATTGAAATCCTAATTAAATTGCGGTAGTGGATACTAACGGTTGAGGACGAGTTAGGTTTCATGACACTAAACGCCTTCAGTTTATGGAAAGATCCTGCAGTATATGATTGGAAGGGCTAGTTTGGTGGCATTTAAATTCGATTGAACTGAGTTAGTTACTTGGGAGTTCTATCCTTCATAGATTGTATACGTTTATTTCAGATTTCACAGCGGTATAGATCATTCTGACCCAGCATTTATGAGCAGTCAGCGCATGGTGGGCATGAGAGGAAGTCAAATCGGTGCTGGAGTTTCTGCAACTATGGAGTAAAAACCATTGGACAGGTGGGTCTCATCACATACGCACGAAAGAGGCCTTTAAGACTTCAGACGAGAGAGGAACTACGAACTTCAAATTCAGACCATCAATATCTGTTTAGAGTTCCCAATCAGAAACTTCAAAGCTTACTAATAACTACCAATATTTAAATTACAAAATGACAGGAGGTCGCCTAGAAGAGGAACAACTTACGGTACACGAACTCCTCGACATGAGTGAAAACGATACCCGATTTGGACGTGGTGAATAGGAATGGGTTGCGATTGTCGTCCAGCGAACTGTAGCAGCTCCGAAGACGTCTAGCTGGCGCTGCCAATCGCATCCGCTGAACCGCAAATATGCATAATAAGTAGTCCTTTAAGCTCCTGTATACTTCAATAAGCCCTGTGTTGCGCTTGACTTAACGTATATATTATTCGCGATTGCGACCTTACGAATCTAAAATTTATGTCGTAGACCCAGGCACTTATCGAAGTACGTTACGACAAGGACAGAGACAACGATAACAAGGGCTTCTTCACTAGAACAAGAACATACTATTTGACCAAGATTGTCGATATGCACAGTTACCTCGTCGTCAGTTGTAACCCAAAGGGCTTCTCCAATAATGTTATTTAGATTCAATAATATTTGAATATTGAATTCTAGTGAAGAAGCCCTTGTTATCGTTGTCTCTGTCCTTGTCGTAACGTACTTCGATAAGTGCCTGGGTCTACGACATAAATTTTAGATTCGTAAGGTCGCAATCGCGAATAATATATACGTTAAGTCAAGCGCAACACAGGGCTTATTGAAGTATACAGGAGCTTAAAGGACTACTTATTATGCATATTTGCGGTTCAGCGGATGCGATTGGCAGCGCCAGCTAGACGTCTTCGGAGCTGCTACAGTTCGCTGGACGACAATCGCAACCCATTCCTATTCACCACGTCCAAATCGGGTATCGTTTTCACTCATGTCGAGGAGTTCGTGTACCGTAAGTTGTTCCTCTTCTAGGCGACCTCTTGTCATTTTGTAATTTAAATATTGGTAGTTATTAGTAAGCTTTGAAGTTTCTGATTGGGAACTCTAAACAGATATTGATGGTCTGAATTTGAAGTTCGTAGTTCCTCTCTCGTCTGAAGTCTTAAAGGCCTCTTTCGTGCGTATGTGATGAGGCCCACCTGTCCAATGGTTTTTACTATTCCGGTGATTTTTGCGCCTAGCATTCTTTCCGTTAAACTCGTAATCCATTTTGAGTTGCCTGTTTTCTTTTTTCTTTCTTTTTTCGTACTGTCCACATTGTGGATAGCCGGAGATGAGATTTCTTTGTTTCGTGAAAGATAAATGTTTTATTCAAGGCATTCTCAATATCACTTTACATGCATAGCAGTAATCGGATTAATTGGCAAATTTGAAATAGCTAGGGATCATGAGAAGTAAGTCAGTGAAGGTGATAGCCCATGTTCAAGTATCGTGGCTTCTTCTACATAACTACAGACCTTGACGTGACGATCGGGAATGACCATACATAAACTTTACGTCAACAGTGAATAATGTCAAAACCTGTCAAAAACATTGGCTTATCGGGAGGTTTCCATCATATAGAAATAAAGAAGACGTAGGATTTTTTTTTCTAAACTTACTGGATATTTTGCCATAGAGGTCCGTATATATGTATAAGAAACAAGGAGACACTTTATGTGAAACATGGTGACAAGACATTAAATTGACATTAAATTATGCGAAAGAGTGGCAAAACTCCGTAACGTTTGCCGAGCTTGGTGTTGTACCACGGTATGGACTCCAATAACTTCTTTATCACAGACCTATTATACCGTCAAAAGCAGTGTGGCGATACTGAGCCGCCAAGCACCATGGGTGAGAACAAACAGCAAAAATGAAAAGACAACAGTATAAGTAAGACTCTTCTGGAAAGTCTCTGATAACCCTTTTAATATTACGATAACGATATTCAGTAAAAACAAATGAAAGAAACGATGAATTGAAGGACTATGACTAGCAGATCCTGATGTAGTGCAGTACACTCAGGCATTGGTTCGGTTGCAACTATGACCCTGACCTGTTTGTATTCGTGGTTCGAAGTTCCAACTGGATTACCGTTTTTGATATTCTGCTAGTGGCTTTATGAGACCGTCGTTATAAGCACGTAAGATGGACTCACAAACAAATGTGTATTGACCCTGGAATAAAGACATTCTGTATAAACCAGTGCTTCTGATTTGTACTTTTTAGTTATCTCTCCAACGAAGATGAGTCATCACCAACTTCTTTATACCTGCTCAGAGGTACCTATACGGCTCAGTTTCATGTATTGTTTGTGACTCAACAGTTCTTTTACCATTCTGACTATTCGATTCTTACTATTTTTAGGCTTCTTGGTCTTCTTGGGATCCTAAGATGGTTGGTCTAGATCGTGTTCGAGTCTCCTTTGCACTCATTACACACCATTGCGAGCATAGTTTTACCAGCAGACGAAGGAAAACCGTATTCAAGACCACCGGTTTTCCAAAGAAGTTGAGTTATAAATTCGTCGTTTCTGAAAGGCCGTCAACCATATGCGACTCTGAGCTGCTGTTCTTTCTCGGTGGAAGGCAGGTGAGAAAAGGTGCTGTGAAGAAGGCAATTCCGGCGAGACGTGAGCTACGGTTGTGTTGTTTGTGTATTATGTGTATGGAAGTAAACGTATGCTGTTTAACAACGTCGAAATTGCTGAAAAAGAAAACGGCGAATGTGTAATCCAATGCAGAGGTTAATAGAAAGTCGATCCTGGGAAGTTGAGTTACTTCCATACTTGGCTGGGCCAGAGATTAAAGACAATTACGAAGCACTCCTTAAAAAAATTATTGCTGACGCCTAATTTTGTGAGGCGAGCAAATGGAACGATGTCTAACTTGGTTTCGATATGAACTTGCCAGTTTGTTGGAAGTAGGCGGTGGTTTTTTGATGATTAAAAAACTAAAGAGGTTGAGAACATCACAAGGTTGAAGAAGAGACTTTGCTATATCGCTCAATATGTATAGGCGGTATATATCACACTATTTAGTATACAGCCCGGTCATTTAAACATCACAAACAGCAGTTGAAAGCGTCTTCCAACTCATGCTGTCTATTTCTGTATTTTTTTTAAAACACATTAGCGACCAAGCTGAACAGACGACGACTGCTTCAGAAGTTCAGACCTTTGGAGATTAGTAGAGGAGAATTTACTCTATCGCCTTAAGTGCGTGTATTTTGACGTGTTCCGTTAAATTTAAATACGTTTAGATTTGACACTTCGACGAAAACTGACAGCGAAACTAAAGTTTCTGAAACTTCTAATGGAACAGGGATAGGTATAAACATAAACATAAGTTCGCAAATACCATGTCCTGCTGAACAAAATTTCTCTTGCGATTTGCTTTCGTGTTCGAAATACGAGCCCTGACGCAAAAAAGTGGAAGAATTTTATCTCATGGGCTCCGGAAAAAAAACACAGTGGAAAAACAATAGAACGTATATCTCCTACACTCTAATAGATTTGTTTTTCACAAATAATAAAAAAATTCTATGTGCTGTTATGTGTTGATCCAAAGTTGGAAGCGGCCATCACTTTCGCGTCGTACAACTCCTATAGAGGCTACGTCGTCGTGAATGTGTTAATTCCCTGCCATGGCATATGATAACCGCTCACCGTTGTATTTGAAATGAAGTCATAGTCAGTTACCAGTTAAATTACAGGTCATACTCGTTCCAGAAAGGACTTCTTCCGTATTTCTAAGTGCAGAATAGTTTTTCCGGACCAACGCCCTTCGAAATACATATGTCGGATAAGCTATCAAATGAATACGTAGAGTGGAACAAAAAGCTCTACGCGGTAAAATAAACCGCCGAAAAGAAAATGGACCACATATGAGTCACGTTGTCCAGTTTGCTCGGAAAAGCGTGCGCAACATATGAGTGGCTTCGGCGCCAATGGTTTGGTTAGTCACATGTATCACATGTAGTCCATTAGTCATGAATTACTCAAGTGGACACCCAGTATATCCATTTTTCCCTGCCGTCAACTAGAGCTTTTCAGTGGTTTTCACAAGCTAGAGGGAAAAGATGAGTGTGTGAAGTCTTTTGCTTCTGCTGTTTTTGGAAAGAGAGAACGCACGTTGGCCTCTCTCGTAGAGGGTTGTCGCTATATTCACGGGTCCTTGGGAACATACGTAAAGCTTATTTGTTACAGATGAAACCAAATTGCTGGCATGTAGCACTTATTCCTACAATCCATCTAGAGTGAAAACAAATATGATATATGAATGATTTTTTCTCGTGTTTGGCTCCGCTGTTCGTCAGGTAGGCGCAGGCCATACAGCCCTTCTTCCATTAGTTGACACGAGATCCCTGTTGGATGTTTAGTAATAGAGTAAAAACAACAAACCACTGAACCAATTTCTGTAGTCGGAAACTCCTACTGAACTGAAGTGTAATATTAGTGTAATATTTTGTATCCCGATGTTAATAGGAATTTATGAGATGCAACAATATAGTGAAAAACGTACCACTGTCTGGATGGCCATGGCACGTTGATCACGCATAACCCTGACGATATCTAATGGATATACTGGTTCATTAGCTTCCACTAGGCATGCAGCGGTCTCCATCAGTATGAGCACTCCTGTACGACCGATCCCAGCAGAACAGTGCACCACGATTGGATCCACACTTCCAGCGCGTGCACGTCGTACCTGTGAGAAGCATTCTGAATCAAGAATCGATCTATACGTTTGTCTCAAAGAAGTTTCTTCACTTGTTAACAAGGTTTCCTTAGCTGTAGCACACAAAACGACCCATGTCTTATAAGGTGTTTGTAAGCGTGAATTTCATGTTCCCTACTCACAGAGGAGCTTGTCATAAGCCTCCTTTTTAAAAATAAAAAGAGTTTACCAGATGTAAAAGAACAGTAAGCCTCCCGTGACCTAAAAAGCTTTCTTGTTCTATCAAATGTCATTTGCACTTTTGTGGTGTCCGTATGGCTTAGTATAGTGGAATCCGATTTTTGGTTCATTTAAGGGTGTCCTATTAATGGTAAAAGTAGACTTAAAACTGTAACTGGAGAATCCAGCAGAGTCCGAGTAATCCAATACTAATGTTCCATCAATGCCTGATGCTTCACTGGCCCTGTTTGGAATTTTTTGTCCAAATCACATGTAATTTCTGTTACTTCTTCACTATTTTTAACCTCAGCGAAATGAAGAAAATGCCAAAGAAGAGAAGAAAAGCGGTCTGATATGGAAGAACAGCCAGAATGTTTCGGCACAGCAAATATTTCTGAACCGCTTTTTTAAAATTCTGATGGAAGCGTATAATAGGTACACTTAAAACTAAGAAGGTAAGTAGATAATTTTAAAAACTCTTCACTCAAGAACTTCATTTACAAGGTCTCATTGCCTCTTTGATCCATTATTCAAGTCCAACCCTAAGACCTTAGCGTTAGTCAGTATTAAATTTTCAGGAACACATTCTTGATAACGCATGATCTCACCGATGATGGATATACTGTATTTGCCTAAATATAAAAAATGTAAGTGAAAATGTGAGACTATTTAACAGCGAATTACAATGGTTTTGTTGCTGAAATCCCTTAAAAAGCCGATGGAATTCGAGTGATCTGATTCCACTACCTCATCGACGAAGGCGATGAAGTGCTGTGGATCGTCGGGCACCCCGTGGTCCGGCCAGGCCGTGTACTGCATCTGTGTCACTCGACGCTCTTCCTTCGACTGAAATCAACGACGTACAGGAAAAAAAAAACTCAAAACGGGCTGATCACTAAAAAGTTGAGGATTCAACCTTATCTCAGAATAATATTATCCGCCATACAGCAATACATTCCGGGCACGAAAACAATAAGAGCATATAAAGGGTTGAAAAGTCGATATTCATAATGGTAAGGTGAATTATTATATATTGGCCATGGCCTTTATATTCCACTGGTCCTTCAATTCTAACCAATAAAGTTCACTGCAAGATGCGATATGTAAAGTTGAATGGTTAGACTGCTTTCGGGTAGCAACGCATTTGATTCAATGCACATTGTCTCACTATTTAGTGGTTATAGTGGTCGCAGATACACTCATGATAACTACGTCTAAAATCAAGCACCAACTAGCTAACTGCCGAAACAATACTTTGAAGGATATCGAACCCATGAGAAAAATCGTGTAAGGTAGGAACTATTTCTTAGAGAAAGGAAGAAAACGATACGAGCATCACCATTTTCCTTGTTTTTTCGTGTACAACGTCAAAAGTGCAAACCGCCAAGCAGACACCTTTTTTGGCTTCAAGGAGAAAAGAAGACAATACAAAATTAACATAACCATAATGCAAGTCAATTAGTTCTAATCAGTTCTATGGAAAGAAAAATCTAAGATTTGTGGTAAAAAGTGGTGACGAAAACGCGAATTTCAACTGATTGTTTACATTTAAAAAAAGGAATTAAAGATGGATGGGTAAAAGTGGTAAAAAAAATCTAGATTTTTAAGATTTAACCGTAGGTTAGTTATCGCTAGCAGTTTACCAACCGTTCTTTCCTTGACAGAAAACTCCCTGTAGGAGCAATTCGGCGTTTCATGATCTCGAATGCACGTCACCAGCAAACGACCGTATTCCTGACTTTCGTGCAACCTTAAAATGTTTATTGATTAGTTCATTGTTATTCTATTAAACCAAGACACAACTTACGAATTAGTTTTTTATGAACTTTAGTTGAAATGTTATCGGGAGTGTTGTGTAGATTTTTACGAAATGTTCACAAGAAGTCTCATTGAAAAACTACGGTAATGTGAGGAATGGCATTTCATAACTAAGGCTCTTCAACCACGGGAATTTTTGAAAGCCTTCTACAACTCAACATTTATACAAATTCTGTATGGGATTTCGATATTCGATAACCCTGCGCCAAACAAGTCTCACTTTTTTGTAGGCGTTTGTAAGGTAATAGCAAACTTGTTTGAAACAAAACATTAACGTCTTTCGCGTGCTCTTACATTTTATAAACGAAACAACAATATAGTGACATGACCATTTCATCGGGATTGAAAAACTCAATGACATTATCCACTTTGTAGTCACTTTTTATTTGTTACCTCTTCTGTTATCACGGCTGTGCATGATATGAAATATAACTATGATGGTGCCGAGATATTTGCAAACCTCCGGACCGCAGGTGTTCGCGGTGGGGATCGAACCCGTTACTACCCTTTCCGTGAGCTAACGTGTTCATCACTACACAGACACCTGCGAGCCGGAGTTTTGCAAATATCTCAGCATCATCGTGGTTATATTATCCACTTGTTTTTCATTTACAGAAATAGCTAAAGCTCGAAAGCCTACTTTCACTGACTGTGAACAACCTTGTAGCACAGAAAAAGAGAGTTCATAAGATAGTACAGTTAATATTTTCGCAAATGTTGGGAAAAAACACGTCAAAAACATCAAAGATTCGTGTGCTCAAGAAAAAATAGCTGCTTTGAGTGGATTAACAGAAATTTTTTACTGCACGAATCCCTTTTTTTTCTTCGCCTTAACTAACTGACTTCGGCCAGTACTGATGGCATTTCACTCGGCCCCTCTCTGTGATGGTGGTGAGCATGACGATGTGAGTGCACAACTGTTCCCAGACCATCAACCAGTGGTCGGCCGATGTGTGAGCCAAGGGTCCTTGACAGGCAATATAGCGATTCACTATACCCGACGACGGAATCTCCATCTGAAGTTTTATTACCATAAAAGCTGCAACAAGTAAAGATTCCACGAAAAAAGACATAGAATTAGCAAATATCTGGATTCTTTATTACAAAAATTATGTGGAACCGAGGCAGTTCATATTTCGTAGAGTAAGCTTAATTCTGTAACTTGCAACTCAAATCATTCCAAGTATCGAGTGGTGGATTAGGGTAAAGAATATTGCAAAGCACAAAGAAATCTATCCGAACGATTAGTTTTGCAGCCTAAATGTTCCCCATAAACAAGATTGAGTTTTCTATTGCAGTGTTCCTAGAACACCACAACAAATTGTGGTGGGAAAAACTCTTAATACTTTATGAAGCCTTCTCCAGAAATAATTGAAGCAGTACGTATCACTTAATTAAAAGGAAAAACACCTACTACTTACATTAACATAATTGGCGTTAATATAATCACCAGTTGGCGACGAATTTAGGTGTACCCTTGTTAAGTCGTAAGGGCAGACATCCCGATATCTGCATAACAAGAACTGAGAACAGGATGAGGTTGAAGATATGAGATGTCTACTGTAGGAAAAAAAACTGAAGAAGGACTTTTCGATCAATTCAGAACTGAAAACTGTACCTGTTCTTGTTGAGATTAAATGGTAATCGACAGTCATTCATTGTTAGACCCGGCTTCTTTCGATAAAGTTGCTGAAATTTATAGAAATTGAAGTTGATTCTGGACGATTCCAACATTCCTCAAATTCCTTACTCACAATTTTTTATAATTTTAATGTATAATTCAACGCAATGCGCCAGTAGTGTAATGGTGATATGTGCCCCACGACACCATGTGGTTGCTCTTTCGATCTCGGGTCCCGACCTGACCAACCCTTCCATTCCACCGAGGTCATCAAATTAGCACCAAACTTGTCTGGGAGAATAAAAGCACTGAGTCTCCACATAAGTGAGTCCGCGCAAGTCATTTTATGCGTCAATTATGCGCTCAGTCACCTCTACGATGTTACGAATGGAGTTGAATGCAAGGCGCATCATTTAGCGCTTTATCTACGCCGAATGCTTTATCATCTCCCTTTTGTCCTTGAACTCAACGAGGGAACTACAGCATTCCTCTAGAATCAATATACGTTTGGTATCGATTTATCGAAGAACTTGCCTCAAACTGAGACGCGACTCGACCGCTGGCGAGCGCATCGCTCAGCATACGAAGCGAGTGGGCGAGTTTGTCGCTCCTCGGCACGCTCTCGGCCACACGCATCTGTTCGGGAAGCACCGCCCCTTCCGGCTCGTCCACCTCTTCGCCAAGGCGATACACTAAACACATGCATCTCGCACATTTCGTTATGAGCCAGATACCGAATGAAGAAAAGCACCAACATGAAGCGCTAGAAGCGCTCCATCGAGACAAAAACCTTATGATGCGTGTGCTGAAATATGATCGCCCTCTAATTGTCCTTATTTCACAGAACATATGAAGGCTACCGGCGGCCTCAATTATCTCGACATTTATGGGAACACTAGCAACAGTCGAATAAGTTGTAACGACTTTGTTCATCGATCCTTTTCATATTACTACTTGGATACTTGAATGGCCCGTCCTCACTGGTTGTGCGGACTCCAGCACAACCTCCATTTTTCGGAGATTTGCTGGTTAAGCCATTGTGATTTCCTGGAATCCCAAAGTCAGCCTGGCTAAAGTCTGCCCCAGGTCGTCACCACCACACGCAGTCGCTGCTCTTGTGGACCAGAGGGAAATTTGTCACCATGCGATTTTGATGCTAAGACGGTGGTGGATCCTTTTTATACACTTTTAAATACCCAAAATTGTTCCTAATTTCACGTGAACTCTATGGGTCCCATTTTATAAGAAACAACACAAAAAAGAATTTGAGTGGAAAAGTTGAAATCCGACAACACTCTGCAGAGAACGCAATAACTTATTGATCAATGCAGACTAAAATCCATAATCGGTGTTGGAACCTCTGGAAAATGACGGTTAAGAAAGATAATAAATTATAATTGTGGAGTAGAATCGGAAATTTCCCTGTTGTAGATGACGGTCATGTGTCGCTTGTTCGAACATTCATAGCACGTAAGCAGAAAGACACACCCACACAGACGCATATAGATATACACATACACATTCACACACACCTTTTCTTTATTTCGAAAACAAGTAACGAACCGTTTGGCTTGATGGTGAGCACGAGTTCGCCACCGTTCGGAGCCGTCCGAACACTTCGGATGAAGTCGACTACCTTGTCGTGCGACATCGACGCCACGTCCCGACCATTTATGAACAGAACCTGAAACGAAGAAAAAACACCACAATCCCCGTTACATTCTTTCGGAACTCGGTTCAAAACACTACAATCTATGAAAATCTCTGCATAACTCTGGATAACGAAAATGGTATCAGAGTGAACTCAGTAGGGAAACCAGAATTAGTTTAAAGAGAAAAAAATGAGAGAATGACTAGATATTCAGTCATCTCGTTAAATTCATTTCGATGAAATTCAGAGCAAGAAATTAGTTCATTTCAATTGGAAAGGAACGAAATAAAACACCTGGCTTAAAAGTTCACTATTTCGTTGAAAATCGATATGAACAGATATTTTAATTTTGTTTAATACTTCATTGTATATAAGAAATAACACAATTTGAGTTCTACAGAGGTTAATTAAAAGTGGGATTAAAAAAGGAAAAACAATAGTTGAAATCGACAGAGAAGTGCCAAAATTTTCCCAATTCTATCTACAGATTGCGAACAATTCGCGCCATGGAAAACCGTATTAAACCGGTGATTGTTAACCTGGTCGGAAAAAAATGACTTCGTTTGAAATCGAACGAAAACACGGACTATTCAGCTCAATAAAAGAATAAATTTAAGTGTTTTAGTGGTATAGTTTGAAAGGACAATGAAGAATTTTGGCAAAATTTAGAATTAGTGACCATTGCCAGTCATTGGTTCGAATCCGCACCAGGCCATGCAGGCCTCACATCCCTCTTAGGTCAGCTGATTGTACGAAACTCGTTTGCAAAGCTCTCACGGATCAACAAGAGCTTGCAACTACCTGTAGTGAAGATTGGAACGGCTTTACACAGTTATCCTGGGATTCTATGGAGAATTGGCTCGACCATCATTCCACGGTATTCATAAGGAGATCAAAAATTCCCACGCAGCAGATGAACCTATCAGCAAATGCAGAGACTTTCGTGCATTATAGGCTCCAGGAAAAAGAATTAAATGCGAGAAAAGCTGGTACGCGCTCAGTGAAGTGTAGGTTCTTTTTTGTTAAACGATGTTTAGCGATGTATCACATTTCTTCTAAACCTCGTGTGAAAACGAGGTTTAGAAGAAATGTGATACAATTAAGTTCTGTCAACCGATAGCATGGAGATTTCGTTTACGCTGCTGGTTTTCACACGCTGCTCATCGGCATTCAACAACAGCCGCACGGCAGCATTCACTCACATAAATCCCCGTCTAAGTTCTAACCACCAATCATATTCTGCCCCTTCTGCCTTTTCCAGTGAATTCAGGTTTTGCGACGAAGCGAAGAAATCTCCAGATTTCTGGACAGCAACGGTAACGAGTCGACATGAGCGCGTTTAAAATGTGGGGCGGGAAGTAATAGTGATTATGTTGTAATAAAACCGTTTCCAAGCAAAATTATAGGAAAAATTTTTGAAAAAAGTTGCGCTCATAATTGCAAATGTTCCTTCATAATCTATTTTTAGCGCACGGTTCCTCTTCTACGAAATGATCATAATTTTTGGAAGCAATTTAAATCCCAACAGTTCACATTTTACTACTATGGACTAATATCATATGGAATGCGCTAGCTTTATTCCAAAATCCTTTGTAAGCTCTTTAAGAGAGCTTTATTACATTCGCATAATAATGGTTTCTTCCAGAACGATGCTGAGATATTCGCAAAACTTGCACTCCGAGCCAGATCGAACCACGATTTCCCTCTTCGGGTGCTCGAGGATTACACACAGCGACACGGATGTCCTTGCTCTGTGTTTTTGTCAGCTAGTTTTCTATTTACCAGTGCAGAAATTGTTTTGTGAATATCTCCGCATCGTTGTGGTTGATTTCGCATAATATCCCGCCGTGAAAATTGTAGTAGGCAGTAAACAAAAAATTAAACATAATGATTTCTTCATCAAGACATGGTACTTTTATGTTAAACAAAGCTAACCTGATCTCCCTCGTTGAGCCGCGGATGTGCCTTATCGGCAGAGCTACCTGGGGCAACTCGCGAAACGATGACTGGGTAGTTCTGATCAGCCCCGCCCTAGAAACGATAAACTGTTTAGGCTACAAATTTTCAATCTAGGCAAATAAAACTGTACAGACCCAACATTCTTTCAGCAGACTGACAATCCAATCTCACTCCGCATAGAATTTTTTTTACAGTTAAGCTTTTTACACCACCTTGCTAACATATTTGGCTCTAGAGATGGTTTGTTTCAGAGAATTTATTGTTGCCGAAATTTCCTCATCTCTTTAACACTCTCGCAACGACGCCTAGCTCGTTTTGTTAGGGATTGAAAGACGGCAAATTCTCAGCCTTTATAGATTTCCTGGTTTTTTGAAGATAATAATTTGCGGATAATTGGAGGACTTCGCGAATTGTGAACATGGAAATATTGTAGAAAACACTTTTCTCTATCGTTCTATGAGAATGAATGATATGAGGTTTGTGAAGGTTTTCATTGTGGTCGTTATTGTTGTTGGTGTTGTTGGTCGATCGCTGACGTTTCGGCGATTTCGCCTTCTCAGAGACGTGCCGTTACTGTCGCCGAAACGTCAGCCATCGACCAACAACACCAACAACGACAACGAAAACTTTCACCAACCTCGCATCAGCTCAACAAGACCAGTTCATAAGATCATGTAAATAAATACACATTACTGTCAGTATTTGGAAACGTTTTGCAACTTATGGGTCACTACTTCAGCATTTTTTATTTCCGCACTTCTAAACGATAACTACCATTCACCACAACAGTTAGAATTTACAGAGTTTTGTATAAGTAAGATATAAATATATGTGCAGTATATGTATAGTGTTGAGGTGCATAAGTTTCATGCAGATTTCTAAGTGCAGAGTACAGCTTTTCCCTACCGACAGCCAAGACAATTACCTGTGTTCTATAAGCTTCCAATTGGCAATAAAAAAGGAAAATAGCTCTATGTGCTATAACAGATCACCGGAAAGAAAATGAGGCCTATAGGTGTCATACCATCCACTCTGGCAAAACCACTATGATACCTATAGGTGTCATTTGTCGCAAGTGTTAATCTATTTCAAAAGATTACATATTCATCCAGAACTGTTAGAATCGTTTTATAAAGTGTAACATTCACAAAAAATTAGGGTGTAACGTGAATTATAATACCGATAAGATGGCGTCAAGAATTCGCTTTAGTCGTTCTACACGGTGAAATCGGTACTGACAGAAACTCAAACTACCGTACCTTAACGTTGAATCCGAATCGTCCCATATTGTCTGGTCGCATTCGTACAGTCACCAGTGAATCTTCGGTAACCGGTGAATTCGACTAAAATATAAAGTAATTTATTTCTTAATCGTTCGCGTAAATCAAAATCGTTAAATATGCTACTGCTACTAGTATAGTGAATATTATTAACAATAAAGATGATAATCACAATTTTAACTTATTATTTACTGCCTACTCTTTTTAACGGCAGGGTTTACTTTGTGAAATATAACTGCAATGATGCTGGGATATTTGTAAAACTCCGGACCGCAGGTGTATGCGGTGGGGAACGAATGCGCTATTGTCCTTCCCGGGGAGTAACGCATTAACCACTACACCATGCGGGTTCTTCGTTTCGCCTGTCTCTCAGCTAGTTCTATTGATCTTTTGCTATCAGCAATCACCCGTCAGCGGAATTGATCTAGGGAGCTGAGAGACAGGCGAAACGAAGGACATGCATGGTGTGGTGGTGAACGCGCTATTCCCCGGAAAGGAGAATAGCGCGTTCGTTCCCCACCGCATACACCTGCGGTCCGGAGTTTTGCAAATATCTCAGCATCATTGAAAGATGATAATATTGTAGTATTCAATAATTATTTTTATTTTATTTCACCATACCCGTCTTCTCGTTTACTGTGCGGATCCCAGTACTTTTCACATTCAATTCATTTCCTTGCGTCCATTGTCCATGAAGGTCATCCAACTTTTACGTGTAGCTTCGGTTGCTACTTGAGGGTTTTCATTTCATTTTGAATGTCGTAGATTGCTAGTCCAGTCGATTCTCCCTAGAGTCGTGAGATAGTTCGGCTGGAGCGTTCCCACTTGGATTGCAGGGAGTGAGCTTCTGCCAGAGAAGTTCGGTATCAATTTCCCGACCACGGAGGGAATACAGGCTCGGTGGGCATGGGCGGGACCGAACCAGCACTGTTCTCGTGTTGATCGGCATCACTACCATTGTGTTATCCGCCCCTACTATGTAACATCATGCAATCCATCAACTTTTGATGATAACTCGCCGGAACATTTACGTATTTCAAAATAAAAAAAAATAAGAAGACAAACGAAGGCGAAACATAAAGGCAACGCAAATTTGAACACAGTAACCAAATTTGTAAATTTTTAAATTAGTGTATCTTAAAGGGACCAGTTTTACTTTGTCCCTCTGTTAGAATAGCGTCCGCAAAACACCATAAACAGAAATTCCGACTAGCCATCTCCAAACTCTTGAGAAGCAAGCGCTCCCTTATTACGGCGTCTACAGAATTGCAGTAAACTTCGTTAGTTGGGAATCGAATTCTGAATTTACTGTGGGCCCAGCTGGCGAGACTTTGTTTAGCCTATATCTATACGAAGTCAGTCGGCTAGCTGACAAATTAAGCACGACTATGTCGATGCACCTTAGCGAACTTCATCAGCGGAGTTTACTGCTTTCTTCCCTCGTCATTCCGCTAGAGTATGGATTCGGTGCCCATTTCAGTTGGATTTAAAATTCTTCACAACTATGACCAAAAAAATCCCATAAAAGTGCGAGATTTCATAATCACGTGTTTGCACGACGTTGAATGTCCAACACTTAAGTCGGAATCGACAATGGCCTTCCACGCCAAAAAGCTCAGTGAAGGCAAAAAAAGACAACGATGAAAGAGCGAATCGCATCAGCATACTGTAATCGGCAGTAGAACATAAATTCTAGCTTGTGAAGTACAAAATCTCCGACTACACAAGATGAAATGGTGACTGTATTTTCAAAGTTCATTAATTTTCGATAAGTTTTGCTAAGAGGGGAATTTCCTTTAACGTGAACGACAACCATGACACTGAAAGCCTGTGATGAAACACGGGAGAAATAGAGAGCAACTTGGCTGGCAAATTCCAGAAACCACTTTTCCAAATCAACTGATTAAAAAGGAGATGTTAAAGGATTAATATACGCTTCGTCTAACAGCACAGAGTTCTTTAGAATTGTAAATAAGATTAATCTCAGCCATGAAAATGTAAAAGCAAGTGATAAAATACTGCTTCAAAAGTGTACATTACGATGATCCACATAAACATTGCTAGATATTTGTAGGAATTCTGTTAGTGGACTGAGATCCCTCTGTGGATCGAATTTAATACAAAGCGCTCGTCCATCAACTATATTCATCAAAAAGGTTTTCTTATTGAACAGAGAAGTGAGAAGAAAATAAACACGTCTTATGAACATATCAATCATTATAAACATGTCTACAGTTTTGATTTCAATCGCATCAGTTGAATTCTTATAGTTTTATTAGAGCCCAATGAAAACACCTGAAGTTCCATTCAGAAGCGAGAGTTGTTCTATTTCTGTAATAATTATTGGAGCTCAATTACTCATATATACTTGTATACTTTGCCTCTAAGCACTACGATCCAGCGATCCCGTTCATAAAAACAATCTCAAGTCTGTTAGTCGCCAGTCAAATGAAGAAGTTAAAGGCACATCGACTGCGATATGTGAATACTCCAAAGGAAGATTATTTTGTCTTTGCTAAGCTCGAATGACGTACGGATTTCGTAAGCAAGTGAACATGGAAGTGAGCAGACTGTACGGGCAAAAGCACGTGCCAGTTGACTAGGAGAATGGATGGAAGGTAGAGTTGAGAGTGACTCCAACAAGGGAGATACAAAAGCACAACTATGGCATGTAACAAAGACGAATGATGCTAGCTTGAGTTAATGGAAGAGCAACGGGATACAAGCGATGCAAGTGATAGACGAATATCTCTTAAATTTTTGTGACTAGGAAGAAAAATGACGGGAAAGAAAAAGCCAAGGTCATTAAAAAGACAGCAGAAATAAGATTAGAGTAAAATGAAAACAAAAAAGGCAAAGAATATAGGAAACGAGCACTTCATATTCATGGAAGGCCAAGTGTTGCTGACATCACATCTGATCCGTTCAGATGAGCCTAAGACTAGGAATCAGTCTGAGAATCCCGACGTGAATGCTGCACAGTTCGTCTGAGTAGAGTTTTGTTTTCTCAACTTACAACCTTGCAAAAAAAATAAAAAATCAGTAAAACCATAACCATTCTATAAGATTTTGCCTGAATTATGAGGCATCTACTTTTCGAACCAGTTATCCAAGTAAAAATAAGAATAGCATAACATGTACGGAAAATTATTATATTACAAAACAAAAATTTGAAAGAAGAATTCTTCATGGAAGCAAAAGATAGAGGACAGTGCTACAAATACCCGAAACAGAAGAAAAGACGGTACACGATTTTGGTAACTGTGAGACGTGGAGAAATAAGTCCAAGTGACGACGAAATGGAAGCATATGAGGAGGAAGCTATGTTTGTCAGAAAGAAAACAGTTCTAGCCGAAAATTTGCCTTAATCTCAACTACTCGAAAAAAATGGTACTAATGGAAGAAAAAGAAAATCTACTCAAGAAAAAACCTTGTTGCTGTGTGGTGACCGTCGTGCCATCGGTGGACTAGCTCCTATGCCGGAAGTATGAGAAGAGTAACTAAACAGTTAAAATTTATGAATAGTAGAGATTCTGAAGGCGCAGGAGTAGCTCATTCACCTGGCCACTGACGATCGTGGACTCAGCCCGCATCCTTGACCGAGCCGTGGCGACGCTCTGGCGGCGTTCAGCGGCGGTTTTGACGTAAGCACTATAAGAGAACAACTCCATGATGGCGATTTTCGTCCGCTTACGACAGCGCACGCGACAGTGAACGCAACTGTTATCCTCTCATTCCTCTTTTTCTAACAGACAATGATTGAATGAGTACCGTAAGACATTCTCGTACGGTTGAAGAGTCTCATTAAAATCACAATATTACGTAGTTCGATCACGACATGCGATTTTACCGCTCCAGTATCATATATCTGATGTAGTAGCGAAATCAACAGCAGTAAAGAACGTCACGCCTTCCATGGTTAGTTATATTTTTAAAACTACTTTGGACGTAGAAATTGAAAAACTCAATAAAACAATATACTTTTAGTACACTACTAACTGAACAGAAAATTTTTCGCCTACTCCATTACATCATAGATTTGCAATAAAATTACAAGATAATGAGAATGGACCTACATCCGTTTGTGTACCCGTTATTGTGATTGGTCGAGTATGTAGTGAATGTGGACGAATTTTGGCATCCATTAGTTGCGAACCCATTCTGAATGGAGCGTCTGGACGTCGGTGTTCCTCCTCCACCGCCTCCACCACCGCTACTGGGTGGAAGATGATGCACAGCGACCGACGTTGACGTGCAGGCCTGCAACGGAGAAAATGGAATCTCAACAACGACTCATGGAAACTCAGCCCATACACGAGGTTTGTTCGCTTAGTGAAGGTCTGTTTTACCACATTTTCGTTTCCGTAATTATTGTAATCTAGCAAATAAACCAAATAAATAAGTGTGGGAGCGCAGTAGTTAGACATGCGGTGAGGTAGACGCACGGTCGGAGATTTGACCCCATACCACGCCAGCTAAAGCACTCTTCACTCAAGGGTCAGATAAAGCGTGCTGAAGCTGAACGTGTTTGGGAAAAGCTCGCGTCCTCCGATTCATAAAGACTAGTGAAGGTTTTTGGTGAATAACTGAGAGAACACAAGTACGGTTATACAATGACTCCGTGAAAAATCAGCAATCGCCAGTACTCAACGGTAACAAGCACAATGATGCTGAGATACTTGCAAAACTACGGAGCGCAGGTGTCTGTGGTGGGGAACGAACGCACTATTACCTTTGAGGGTGCTAACGCATTCGCCACCACACCATGCGGGTCCTTAACTTGGCTTGCCTTTCAGAATCCCGCTGACGGCACCTATACGGCAATAGCGCGATCAGGAGTTTTGCAAATATTTCAGCATTGTTGCTGTATTTCGCATAATATCCCGCCGTGAAAAATTGTAGTAGGCAGTAAATAAAAAATAAAAATAGAACACTTCACACAAAACTATTGCATCTCTCACTTTCTCGAATAACTAATTAGGGACCTAAATATGCCTAAGTCACAAAAGTCCAGGAAGTAAACGAGAATGTATAAAAATAAGAAAATA